GAACGCTATGTATAGAAAATATTGAAATCAGCCATAGAATAAACTTGTTCACAATGTCACAGTAAACAATGGATTGAGAGATTCTCTTTCCTCCCAATCTGCAGTCCTTCTCTTTTTAAAAAAAAAGGCACTTTAGGACATAATCAAGCTGGATGGCTTACTTTGATGCATAGCCTATCGAAGTAGCTCTTAAACCATTAAGAGTTACTTCAACCTGCCTGTGTGCTGCAGGTTGTCTTTTCTCTGCATATACAGGTTTACTGTTATCATTATTGAATTATAGTGACATGGAAGTAAGGTTAAAAAACATCATATTTTTCATCCTGACCTGTTTTCATTATGTGCCACAGAATTCTGTGACACTTGACATTAATAAAAAGGTCAGGTTAGCCAACATGTTCCTGCAATTTTCCCTCCGTGCTACATTCCCCCACCAATCAAACAAAACCCCTAATGGATTCACATACCTCTGCAATACCACGACGTATTGACAAAATGTCATTCTGTCTCATCCAATTCCAAGCTAAAGAAAAGGATATGGAGATGCAGAGTTTATTGCTGCAGGGGCTTGTGAAAATATCTTGCAGGATAGTCTATTTAAGGATCCTAATAAGAGCCTCTCACTTATTTATTAATTTGTTCTCCTGTGATGAGCCAGTTTGCTGTATATAGTACACATCCCAATTTCATTAACAGAATAGCAGGCTGTGGCCTTGTCCCTCATTTCTCCAACAACCCCTATAATTTCTGTCACCCTCTGACCAGCTGGCAGCACAGGCGAGCCAAGAAAGGGGTCAAGTCAGGCTCTTGTGATCCTACTCCTTAAGGTCTAATGTACTTAGGGAAGCAGCTGTTACAACGTGCCCCATGTGTACCGAGAGAAACGGCCTGCCATCTCACTGAACTGAATTCATGGCATATCTGGAAGGCATACAGACAATACCCGCTGTCGAAGATATCGAGCAGCGGCTACAGATATAATAAAGTCAATAATAAAACCTAATGGAAATCCTTGAGAAACCTCTCTACACGTAGAATAATTAGGATATGGTATATACTACTGCAAGGAGGCTTTGAAGCAATTACACTGATGGTTTAAGGCTAAGCTTGTTAACTACATGAGGGAGAAAGGAAAATGAGGCGATGCTAACAATGCTAAAGACAGAGAGAGTTGGTGCACGGCTCATGTGGAGTACCAGCCCAGGCCTGATGACCTAATTGTCTGTTTCTGTGTTGTTGAATCCATGCAACTCTGTGTAAGAAAGCACAGTTCAGAAATTCAAAGGTTCAAAATAAAGAAATCGCAAACAAGCAATTCTTAGTATTTGTGAACACCCTTCTACTACAATTTCAACTCTTATGAAAGACTTTGGGAAGGTCTAAGGAGGGATCACTACACAATCTCACCTAGATTTTAACATTTAAAGTATTCTCATGCAATTTCTAGAGCTCAGTCTTTTTTAAAGGAAGTCATTTGATGCTATTGCCACTTTCAGTCAGGAATTCAAGAAAATACATCTTCCGACTGAAAATGATCACCTCGTTGTTACTGTACCTTCAACAACCATCATGGCTCCAGTTACCAAGTGTGGGCAAGCATTTCATCTCATCTCACATTTATCAGGTGGTTCTCTTGCCTACTATCCTTTGTAAGCTATTTCAGAAGGAATAGACCATAATGGAACATGATGGTCCTCACTATGTCTGTTGAACGAGTCTGAATCTTTATTAGAAAACTCCTGTTGTGTTGACAATTATCTTAAATAGTTCATTGAAAAATATCCCAAATAAAAATGGTATAAATAAAAAAGTACAATTTTTTGAACAAATATTCAACTATCTTTGGTTCTAGCTTTATTATTTTCTTTGGCTTGGGTAACAAGATTTTTACTTCTTTCCTGGAATGTATTGTGAAAACTATATATTATTTGATCACTTGCAGAAATTGAACAATTTGGCAAACTAAAATCCAAACTAACAGCTGTACAAGTCTTAAAATCAATGAACACTTCAGGTACCTGTCTTTTTTAAAAACATATCTCTACATTTAATTGCTTCCACATGCAGATCTGCAACGTAACTGTCCAGGACTCTCCAAATCCCATTTTCAAGCCTACTAATGCAAATCTTACTGGAACACCTTCTAATATTATTGTCCTACTGCTTCTTAATCTTTTGATTTTTTTTTTGGGGTGAGGTAAGGGGTTGAAGTGGGATGGAAGGAAAAGAGCGACAATGAACATTTCCTCAATGTTTCATCCATACATGCAAGAGAATGGTTCGAGCACACTGAAATAAATAATCCATTCATGTAAAGGAATCTTCTGTAGAAGTTCCTTCTATAAATTAGTACATACATTACTATTACATACATAACTACACAAGTAGACTGTACAGCAATCTCTGAACCCCCAGTTCCATCTTTCAATCAGCTCATACCTGCATCCTAACGCAATCCAACTTTCTTGGCTCCTCTTACTTTAAAATTCTTGGCCAACAAAAATCAATTAAGTCCAGATTTAAAGTCATTATTGACATCTGCTTTGTTTTGTGGGAGAGTTGCATTTTTCAACCAGCCTTCAAGATGTGTTTCCGAACTTCTCTCCTGAATAGTCCAACTCTGATCTGAGATATTCCCAACAGGAGAAACTCTCTCTCTCTACTGACCATACTAACTCCTTCTAAAATCCTAAAAGGATCAATCATACCACATCTTAAACTTCTGTATTCCATGCAACATAAAGCTAGTTTTTGTAACCTTGCCTCATAATCCAATTCGAAAGATTAATATACTAACAGTGGTGAATGTGCACTGCACTATTTCCAAAGCCATTGTACCCTTGGAATGTGCACTGTAAGGTGCTCAACACTTCTTCAATACCAGGGAGGCTTTGATCTGGGGCGGCATTTTACTACACTCCATTCCCCCCTATCCTGAGGGTTTTGGGGTCTCTTCTGGCGTGTCTGCGTGGGTCCCAACTTTATACCCTCGCCCTGTCAGGTCTCCTATTTTTAACAACTGATCTAATCACTTTCATCTTCCTTCACTGGTCATCAAAAATTCCCCATGTACTGGAACGGCTTTAAAGTGCTACTTACAATACTGCATTAAAAATTAATTACACATGCTATTTTATTGATAGTGCATATCTTAATGAGCACCAGCTGTGCAAGGCAACCAAACTCAATTTAAAGACAGCAATAAAAAAAAGGCTTCCAAGTCTCTCGCTCCCTTTCATAGTTAAAATGGCAACATCTTGCACGGATTTAAAACAGAGAACTTTGATTTAATACTAAATTTAGCTGGGTTTTTGAAGGGCTGTGCGTACAGTTTTGACGCTTTAGTAGAGGAGGGGCCAAGAAAGTTGGATTGCGTTAGGATGCAGGTATGAGCTGACTGAAAGATGGAACTGGGGGTTCAGAGATTGCTGTACAGTCTACTTGTGTAGTTATGTATGTAATAGTAACGTATGTACTAATTTATAGAAGGAACTTCTACAGAAGATTCCATTACATGAATGGATTATTTATTTCAGTGTGCTCGAGCAGAGGAGGGGCACGCTGTTTTGTTAATCTACATTTAAAGCACCTTCCTGCTTGCCCTTAGAGTTCAGAACATTGTGTTTTGAGCCCAAGTAAACAACCAACATATAA